TACTTTATATTTCATTTGTATTTTGTGGCATTCATGTGGATGGCAAAGTAAGAATTTCATTGTACAGGGAAACATGTTTCCTAACTGTGCATATGACAAATAAACACTGACTTTGACTATACTGTGAAACTGTGTATTTTGCGGATACTGTATGAGGGTAATTAGCATGTTATGTTATGATTTCTGATATTGCATGGCACCATAACAACCTGTTGTGTCTTGTTGCTTTTCTTCTTTTCTCTCTCCTCTATCTACTCACCCCAACCGGTCGAGGCAGAAGGCCGCCCAACAAGACCCGGGGTCTGTCAGGGGTTTCTTCCATTAAAGGGAGTTTTTTTCTTCCCTCTATTGCCAAGTGCTGCTCAAGGGGGATTTGTTGGGTTTTCCTTATAATGGTGTAAGGTCTAGGTGTGATTATGTAAAGTGTCCTGAGAACATTGTTGTTGTGAATTGGTGCTATACAAATACATGAGGGCTGGGCAAGATAATGCATTATTTCACATTAACGCATTACTTAACACCAACAATTATTTTATCACGCATTAACGCAGTTTATTACTATTATTATTATTTTGAAAGTCCGTTGCTCACTGACTCTGAATACACATACAGACAAACCATGGGTCACAGGAGGGGTGGGATGTTGATCAGTACTGCACCAACATGCACCAACTGTTGCTCTCACTGTAGACTATGGTTACCCAGCAATGTCCAGTAATTACCTTAGAGTTACAGTGCATTATATTGAAGAACAGTGGGAGCTGCATTCACATGCTCTAAATGTAATGAAAACAGAAAAGAGACATTTTGCTGCAAAAACATGCACAGAGCATTTCATTCATGTTGCACAGCAGTGGAAGTTTCAAATAAAGTCAGCACACTTAGCACAAATAGTGCAAGAAACATGATCATTGCTGCGAGACATCTGCCTTTTGAACATGTCCTCTGTGTCGCGCACAGTCTCCATTGTTCTTTCACAGCTTCTCTGCAGAACCGTGCATTTGACAATGGCCTGGCCAAATGCAGAAAGGTTGTGGGCCACTTTAAACACAATCCAGCAAGTGCTGCAGAATTAGAACGACAACAAACTGAACATGGACAAAGGAAGGAGTCACTTATACAAGACATTCCAACCAGATGGAATTCAGCTCTGGACATGATAAAAAGTGTCTGCAGAAATGAACAGCCACTGAGGGATGTCCTCACCACACACACCACCAAGATTGTCATGCCAACTACAGCTGAAATGGACAAACTGCAGAGGTTGGAAATGCTACTGGAGCCCTGCAGGTATACTTTACGTCACTGTCCTGTCTGAGTGCATACGAGAGAGAAATAGAGTTTCTGTATGTGTGTGAATGAATATGTAGAGGGCATTTTTTGTGTGTATATAAGTGAATGCAATACATTTTGACTGAATTGGGTTTGATTTTTTTCTGTTACAGGTATGTGACTGAACTTCTGGGAGGAGAAAAATATGTTTCATGCTCTGTGGTTCTGCCTGCTTTTTGCCATCTCTCACGGGTGATGGAGACCTCAGTGCCTACATGGTCAAATTCAAGTCTAAATTCAGAACAGACCTGGAGACATGCAAGGAAAATGCCGACATTGCATATCTGAAGATTGCTACCACATTGGACCCGAGATTCAAGGACCTCAAGTGTATACCCAGAGCTCAGAGGGGTGAGGAACAAGGGAAGGAAGAGCAGAAACCCTCATGGAAGAAAGCAACACCATCAGAGCCACCAAATAAAAAGTTAGCCTTATTGGCTGCTTCATCAGAGTCTGATTCTGAACAAGAGGAAGACTCAGATGAGAACAGTGTGCGTCGATACAGAGCAGAGCCCACCATCAGCACAGAGGTCTGTCCGTTAGAGTGGTGGTCCAAACATGCAGGATCACACAGCAGGCTGGCCTCCATTGCACAGACGTACTTGGCCACAGCTGCAACATCCGTACCCTGTGAAAGGTTGTTTTCTCTTGCTGGTCATATTGTACAGAAGAAGAGAGTTTCTTTATCATCTGAAAATGTAAATGACCTTGTGTGTCTGAGCGACTGGCTTGGTGCAGAGGAGTAAGAAAAGGTCAAATCAGAGGAATGGATAAATGCAGTTAATTTTGTCATTGTGTAACTACTCAACCTGCATCAGTTTTTTTTTTCTTTTTTTGACTGAGATTCTCCAAAGAAAATTCAGTACAAACATGAACTTCACAGACTAAAAAGTCCCCTGCACAGTAAATCCCAGCTGTGTACTTTTTTTGTGCTTCACCTCACTCTAACAGGGACACTTGGTGGTGAACACTGACTGTTTATGCTGCTCCCTGATAAAAGAAAAATGTTTCTGCTGGTATCTGTTCAGAAAAAAAAAAGAAAACATTTATAAATGTTAACTTGCTGTTGCTCGGAAGGTGCCTGTTATAATGTTATGATTGTGGCTCTGTACTCTGAGGGTAACTTGTTTCTCTATAACAAAACTAGATAAAACGTTAATGCTCTGGCAGTGGCAAATAGCTTTGGTTTTATATTTGATTTGATTACATTAATGTTTAAGTTGATATTTACAAGAAATATTTTAACTGCTACTGTGTAAGGGGAATACTGCTGTTAAAAAGCACCTTATTTGTTTAAAGTATTTGCAAACCAAATGTTATTGCACTTTTGTTCATATAGCAGTACTTTTAAAATAACAGTGCACAATACACTACTTTAGAATTCATTATTGCATGCCGCTCATAACAATGCAGTTAATCACGATTAATCACAGAAAATCATGCAGTTAATCGCAATTTGGGATTTTAGTCATTGCCCAGCACTAAAATAAATTGAATTATTTTCAAATAAGAAAAACTAGCCATCAGTATGTGGCCAGAGGTGATATGCAACTGGTGTTTGAGAATCACAGATCAGGCATGCAGTTAAAATAAGTGCCCAAAGGAACATATGAAAGCAGCAAATACCCTGCAGATGTCCCAAACAATCATTTTTGGCAGTAGGGCTGACTGATGAATTGCTTTCACATCAAAATTGCGATTCAACAGAACGCAATTTTCAAATTGCTAAAGCAGTGATTTCAACTGCCATTAAAACCTGGTTTTAAACTCCAAGGATTTGAAACAACCCCAGTGACATTCCTGCACCCTCATCCCATGCTCAGCAGGCTTCAAGCTGCAGAGTAATTGGGTGAGTGAAATAAGAAAGACACACTGGTAAGTTTAATTTCAGTGCTGCTATCTGCACTAGAATAGCCAGAGAAGTCAACAAAACCAAATTACCAAGAAGCAACACTAATATTGGTATCAAAGCTAAACAGTAGGCTACGCCGGTCCTCTGGACCTATATTGGTTTTAGACCATAGGATGCACGGCATGAATGTGCTGAACCTGTCTGGCTAAGGTAGTGACAATGCGAGTCAACACCACAAATTTCTTACAGCTTTAAAAAACAAAACACAGTTGCCACCCTTCCCTTATAATATGCAGTCATCAGATTCGATACACTCTTTTGCCGTTGTCCCATATTGGATCAGTAAGGTGCACAGACTCTGGCCTTATTGAAATAATATGGGACGCAATTTGTCACCCTTAAATTTATTGTCCACAGTGGTGCAAACATTATAATACTAAGTTAAACTAAACCAGTTTAGAAAAGCTGTGAGAACAGAGGGGTAAAGACAGGCTCCACTATATTTACACACAGCCCACTGGCTGTTCTCCTCACCCCCATCTCCCTCCACTGTCTGTTTGGACCAGAGGCTCTGCCACCCAGTTATGGCTGGTTACAAGATATGAAGTATGCTTTGAATGGATTAATTTGTGCAAAATGTCATCCAAATATGGCTAAAAGGCACAATGCCATATGTAACAAGATTTTCTGGTAAATTATAGAGACGGATGAGATACAGTTAATTGTACAAATGTTTGTCTATACTTTTGTACAGTTTCGCATTGATGGCAGCCATAGTGTTGCATTCACATAAAAAAATGTTATAAATAGTTGAAGACTTGGACTTTATAAATTCTGATAAAGCTAAGCTCTCACCTGTGGTCTCTGAGGTGGTCCTGTCTTCTGAAGGCCTTGTGGCAGATATCACAGGTATATGGCCTCTCATCTGTGTGTGTCCTCTCATGGATTAAAAGGTTGTAGGATTTGGTAAAATGGCGGCCACAGAATTTGCAGATGAATTCTTTCTTGGTCTTGGAGGGCACTCGGCCACGGCTGGGCTTGCGCTCGGGTAAGGGGACTTTGGGCACATCCAGGAGGCATCCCAGGCCAGCTGACACCAGGTGGGGAGATGAAGCCTGTGCTGCTGCAGCAACACCCGTTATGCTCAGGTCCTCTGCCTTCAGATGACTGTCCTGGGTGGCTGCTGCTGCCAGATTGGCAAAGTCAAAGCGGGGCTTGATCTTGGAGCTCTGCAGCAGCCCCGCTGAGGCCTGCTTGGGCTGCAGGAGGTGAGGCAATATGGGGATGGAGGCCATGGAGGAGAAATGTATGGGCAGCTTGGAGACGACGGGGCAACGGGGCACAGCCAAAGTCGGGTAGCCAAGGGTCCACTGGTGGAGGTGGATGGCATGTAGAGCACTGAAGCTGTAGATGTTCTGTAAATTATCCGTTGGCAGCTGGAGGCCAGTGGAGCTCTGGAGGAGGGAGTAGTTGGCCAACTGGTTGGATGGTTGAAAGGGAACAGGAACTGGCAGAGTCTTGCTGCCCATGACTGATACATAAACTCCAGCAGGCCTTCAGGTAGAAACAGAGAACATTTTTTTTTATTTTTTTTATAATAAGTAAATATAGCAACTAAAATGACCACAAGATCTCTACTGGAAAAAAAAAAAAAATCTTGTAATTGCTGCAGGTTAGATTTCCTTACCAATATTTGTAATTTGAAAAGCTAATTTTTCCTTCCATTTATATTCAGTCTTAAACTCCAAACCACAATACTCACAACAGCTGTGCACATGGCATGTGAGCACATGACACAGTTTTTATTTTGTTTGCTGAATTGGCTGTAGACAGTTGGATGCTTCACAAACTGTTGAACATGATGGAGAACGCCTCACATTCCCTTCATGACCTACTGGTCAAACAGTGGAGCACTTTTAGTAATACACTACCCCAGCTCTGCTGTGACAAAGATCACTACACAAAGTCTTTCCTGCCAACAGCCATCACAGTCTACAATAAACCACCTCCATGTTAGGAGTTGGATCTCCTACTCTGACAATCATTTAATAACCAAACTTTACTGCACCTTAATATACTGTACGGCATGTTTGGACTATCCACCAGACCTCCACTGTATAGTGTACAGTGCAGCATTGCATTTTGTATATTGATGTTATATCGGCCAATAAAACAAGACTCTTGTGCTTGTGGTTAAAAAAACAAACAAAAAAAGAAAAAAAAAAACACAAAACGAATATTATATTTATTAAATATTGATTTTGTAAAAACGGAAAATAACTTGTTTACTACAGCACAGTGCAGTGCATGCAATACACACTCCGCTGTGCATTATTGCTTATAAATCTGCTACAAATCATGTGCTAATACTTTACTGATGTCAAAGTACTCTTTCTATTGTTGTGTTCTATATAGTGTGTTATACTGTGCGTTGTTCTACACTACTACCACTATTACTATTGCTATTGCTGCTGGGGTATATCCTGTGGGGTTGTAGGTATATGGTTCTTTCTGTTTGTACTGCCTGGCTTCCATGTTACTGATCACATTAAATGTAGTTAATCTGAGCTAATCTTCGACTACTTACTGGCCATTCACTGCAACAAATTTTCAGTGAGTGTTTCCCATGCAGCCTACGGTTAAATTTTGGTGAGATGGCCACTGAAAATGTGCCTTTCCTGACTTTTTTTTTTGTCAATTCCCTGGTAGCTACCTATGCATTTTGACACATGGCTGAAGATTTTCATTAACTACTTATTGATGCTACTGGAGAAACCTGGCCAGATTCTAGAAAGAGAGCAGTTCCACCTCACTGACTGGGGACCAAAGGACAGAGACAGTTTCATTTCCTGCCTAATACAAGTATAACTTTTGACTCTGCTGTTGCTGCTTTAAGATCTTGCTTGGTGCCAAAAGTAAATGATGTTGTGGAATGACACAATTTTTGTAAACAAACTCAAGGACCACGGGAGTCTACACTGCACTACCTAACTGCTCTAGCTGATCGAAAACGCACACAGAACAAGAATGGGAGAACGATTACTGGTGGAACAGGACCTCACTCAGGATAAAGCTGTCACGATTGCCACCCAAATGGAGTCTGCTACAGACAAAACAAAACTTGACTTGTTAATGCCCCAAACCGTCCTGCTGCTAAAGCAATTTGTAGACATTGCAAAAAGACTGGACAGTTTGCAAGAATGTGCTGTTCAAGTGACTCTGCCATGTGTAGTACATGAAGTTTATTTGTCTGAACTAACTATTCTCCATGTGTCAGATGCATTAACTGCTTCAGATAATATGTAGCAGACAGTTCTGCTTCAGACCTGCAAACAGTTCAGTGGAGCTAGTTGTTGATTCGGGCACATCAGTCTCACTCCTGCCTCGGTCTAGTTACATGCTCCACTTCAGCAACATAGCACTGAATAAATCCACAGCCAGGCTTGTGACGCATTCAAAAGGCTCACATCCCTGTACATGGGTATTTGTCCATGAATGTTGTGCTTCTCCAACTGTTCCAACAAGGTTCTTTGTGGTGAAAAAAAGGAACTGCACTCATGGAGAAGGATTTGATAGCTGCTTTGCATGTATGCACCGAGGACAACAAAGTGAAACCGCCTGCTGAAGCTTATGCTATTTCTTCAGTCACACTGATGCTATATACTACTACTACTACTACACCTGCTCTAACCAAGTATTCTCTCATACACTGTGCCAAGAATTTCATGCATCAAAGTAAATCCTTCACTGACACCAGTATTACAGAAACGCTGCAGGTTGCCCTTCTCCATCAAACAAGCTGTTTCACAAGAACTAGATCGCCTGCTCAAAGTCGGGGTGATTGAGCTGACAGATGCATCATCCTGTTGCCACACACAAGAAAAAGTGGGTATATAGTAAGGCAGTACTGTAACTTTGGATTTCTTTCCTCTGCCTCATATGGATGAGCTACTCACAACTCTAAAAGGTGCTGCTGATTTTTTACACTACTGACAAACCATCAGTGCAAAACATCAGGTGCCCTTGCATGAGGATAGCAGAGATTTAACTGCTTTTATTATGCATGAGGGACTGTTGAGATTCTGCTGAGTGCCTTATGGACTAGCTTCTGCACAAGCTGCCTTTCAAAAGGAAATGTCACTCATCCTGGCCTGCCAGGAGACCAGAACTACTTTGACCTTATCATAATCGATGGATCTGATGTTGCTGCACATGAAAAGACGCTACAGGCCATGCTGTATCAGCTAGAAAAAAATTCACTGATCCTGTCACAGTGCAGAAGAAAGTTGGTCCTGAAAGTTATGTACTAAGTGACAGCAAAAGGTGGAAGGCATTTCGTCTGGCTACATTCATAGATCCTGTGGCCATCTTGCAGGATACAGACAGAGAACAAACTGACACATCAGTCTGCCTGGTTAAAAGACTATGTAATCTGAGTAACATGGACCAGTCAACCTGTACTTGTTGATGTACCAATTCACATTCAACTGCTCTGAAGGTACAGAAATGCAATCTGTTTGAACTCCTCCCCTCTGGACGGCGTTACAGGTCACTGTGCACCAAGACAACCAGGCACAAGGACAGTTTCTTCCCCTGGGCCGTCACTCTGATGAACACTTGACCCACGACAGTATGACTGGACAATAACGCTTAGTGCAACACCTGTAAATATACATTATATAGATCCATACAGGTCTATTTCCAAGTACTCCATTTTTATTCCTATTTATCTCATTTCAATGAGCATTCCTTTGTCTGACTGCATTGTTTACTGCCTGTTTATACTGCTTATTTTGCATTGTTTGCACCGTTTGTTGCTTGTTAATACTGCTTATTTTGTTACACAGCCTTATGCTGATTTACTGTTTACTTGCCCCTTGCATGGGGATATGTACATGCACATTGAGAGCTGATGTACCAGAGTCAAATTCCTTGTGTGTCCGACACACCTGGCAGATTGTGATTCTACAAAAGGGGAAAATGTTGTGTTCTATACAGCGTGTTATACTGAATGCTCTTCTATTCCACTGCCAGCGTCATGCTGTGGGGGCACTTTGCTGCAGGAGGGACTGGGGCACTCCACAAAATAGATGGCATCATGATGAAGGAAGATGATGTGTATCAACTGAAGCAACATCTCAAGACATGAGCCAGGAAGTTAAAGCTTGATCACAAATGGATCTTCTAAATAGACAATGACCCCAAGCAGACTTCGAAATTTGTGGCAACATGGCTTCAGGACAACAAAGTCAAGGTATTGGAATGGTCACCACAAAGCCCTGAGCTCAGTCCACTAAAAAAAAATTTGAGAAGATATGGAACAGGAAATACAGGAAGTAACCCAAATCCTAACAATTCCTTTATTTTATTGTGCCTCAGACTTCGATCCTCACTCGACCTATAGGTCGTTCTGGTCCGCCATGATCATAGTGCTGTACGTACATACATACATACATACATACATACATACATACACAAGTATATTTAGCAGGTTTGATATGAACTGAGATCATGCTGGTACGTACTGACACCAGGAAATAGCAATATGTTGTGCACAAATATCCGATGCTGACAAAAGCTTTCCCATTCTCCTTTTTCACCTTTTATATGATGCCTAACTAAATACCAGTTATATACACTGGATTGAAGCATTTAAATCATAAATAGTGTTAAAAACACCTGAGTTCTGTGTGACAAAGTTTAGCTTTAAGCAGTGCAGCAGGAGACTCACAGTCTCCCCTAGGGACTTATCACAACTGTTCGTGCTGCCATTGCTGCTGCTGGAACAGTTCACCACATTATTTTTAGTACAACTCGTCCAAAGTTGTTCAAACTTGCTCTCCTGATGCTGGTCTCACTACTCGTACAGGCTCACTCTCCCTTGACACTTCCCCATATTTGCTGCTGCGGGTAGGAGATTTCGTTCAAGCTTGTTCTACTGAGCTGTTGTACTAAAGTTGTTCTCCCTCCACACTTCTCCCATCATCTGCTGTTGCACATGGTAGCAGGGCTCTGTCCTTTATTCATGTACCAAAGTCACAGTTGGGTAGATCCAGTGGTGCTAGCTGTTAGCCCTAGTTTGTTAGTCTGTGGCTACCGTTTACCCTCGGGGATCAATTCAATTCGATTCAGTTTTATTTGTATAGCGCTAAATCACAACAAAAGTCATCTCAGGACAATTTACAAAATAAGTTATAGACCTTACTATTATTATTATTATTGTTGAGGAAAAACCCAACAAATCCCCCTTCAGAATGCACTTGGCGGGAGCTTTTCCTCCCAAGCTGTCGCCAGGTGCTTGCTTAAGGGGGGTATTTTTGTTGTGATTTGGTGCTATATTAATAAAACTGAACTGAATAAATTTTAACTGAATATTGGGGTAAGTAAGATGTGAAGATTCTTAAAATAACGTCTGTACAGAAGCTGTAGCAGCCTAAATATCTAACAGATCAACCATGAAAACTTGCAGTATGTCTTGTGTTTCTTTCCTGCCCCAATGTATTTGACTCCTGGTTACCTCTGCTAAAGGTGTGGCTTATGTTTTACTGGCATTT